TAAATTAGTCGAGTCACCATTGTGTCAATGCTCAACACCCAACTCTCACTATGAACAGTCTACTCATCATATCCTCTGGGAATGTAGTCTTTGGTATAATGAACGTAATGCTGAATAGCTTGCAGGTGACATCTGAGGCGGTATACTATGGGGATCTTGTGTCAACGAGGGTGAATTCCCGTGCGTTTAGGCGATTCTGCCATACATATTATAGAAATCAAATATAGCTCACGTAGGACCCGTAATATTTTGTGGCTGTGGTGCTTCCCTGTTTAAAAGGGTGTATGCCTATTTTACTTCATTTTGTCTCCCGCTTTGCTAAGGAGAGAAGTGGATTTACTGTATTTCCGACTCCTCCAATTTTCTTCTGATTAATTTCGTTGCGGGTTCCAAGACAGTTTAATTTCTTCCTGGGACTTCCCGAGTGTTAGAACTCAGTATGTTCGTGGGTCACTGCTGTGGATCCTGGTGTACAGTAGTTACAGTGGTGGGCGTTTGGGTGGGATTAGTCCCAGCCATAGCAGGAGTCTGTCGCTGATCGCTCGGAGCTGGGCCTCCTCAGGTGTCACCTGGGGTCTCACCTAGCTCGGGCTGGTCGCCAGGGTGCGTGAAGACCCAAACGGTCCCCCACAGAACAATCAAATACCGTAAAGGTTGTCTGGAAGAGATCGCCGTGAGCGAAAAGATCGCCGATTGTACGTCTATATATTTGTAAGACATTATGTGCTAACTGTAAACAATAAAGATATAAATAAATAAATAAAGGTGATCCCATGACCTACCCCTGTTCAGGCGTAACGCTAGACACCGCTGGCAGGGAGCAAAATGCCCCAATCCAGCCACTACACGTCCCCTTCGGGACGGTGTGAAGACCAGCGTAGCGCAGATCATTCTCGCTCGAGCCGTCGCGCTGTACGGATCTATGTAAAATTGTTGGTGAGACTTTGGAATACATCTTTAACTGTATTGACTATTGTCTTTATTTACTACAGTGCAGATCTATGTACGACTGTTGGTAAGAATTCGGTATACATTTTTAATTATGTTTACTGTTATTGTTATTCATTACAGCTTTTATAATGGAAAACCAAGACAATCTAAAGAATAACGTCAGCTTTGCTGACGTCGCTCTTGTGATGTATGATTAAATAAATATAATCTACTCCATGTTAATCTCTATATTTCTATAATACTCTATATTGTAATCCTTCATATAATTTGTACCACTAAAATATAAGACAGTATTAATCTGGGATTCGATCGTTTCATTTACGTAGTCTAAACACCTAACCGTACATGGCGACCCTGCCGACGGAGTCTACTAGGTCGTAGAATTCGTGACAATGGATCGAGTGCAATTTTGTTGTTGCTACGGGCTGTACGTGTGCATTATAGCAATCCTTAATAATGGGCAACCAAAACGCTAAGGACTACACCATAATTGTACAAGACAACAAATTTACTACAGAGGAAATTCGCTTCCATAAGAGTATGACCAATATAATACTGACTGTTATCCTGTTGTTAATTTTGCTTGGCCTACTATACTTCGTGTTTAGATTATACCGAAAATGCCACGTAAAATTGATAAATAAAGAAATAAATCGGACGACCATGAGGCGCTCTCTATTTCGGTGACAACTACAGTCGGGACCCGAGGCAAATCCAAAAATTTATCAAGACGTAACATAGTGTTAAAGTGAATCGTATTGTGCATAATTCACGTGCGGAAAGTGTTTTAAAACTGCGTCTTTTAAAATACGTATATACATCTCTATAAATTAAATAATAATAATCTCGAATAAATAAACCATTAACAAATAAACTAAATAACAAATAGTAAATAAATCTTGTATCTACGACACCGCATCGCATCGCGTGACCGTGAACTTTACAGCATGCAGTGACATACCATATTGGGAGATGCATTGTGCGGAATGAACTTTGGACTGTAGTGCTAATTGCGTTTCATCATTGTAAGAATTTAATATGGTAATGTTTTAATATGAATGACAGGTACATAACTGTCTTTGCTTTATTCTACGTTATGGTGGTAAGTTATGGATGTTATTTTGACATTATATGAGGATTTAAAGAGAATCAGAGCATATTTAAAAAAATAGGACCGAAAAGAAGGACAGAAAAAATATGTAATTAGTAAAATTTATGAAAGGTACGAAACTTGGCTAATAGATTTTAATGATAAGGTTAAGATTTTTTTTTATAATACTGAAGATATTATATTAATAGAAAATTATTGCCGTTTATTTTTAGAATTACATGAATATATTTAGCGTTGTGTCAAAGGGATAAAACTGAATCTATTTTAAAAATTTCTTCGTTTAATTTAAAAATCGCTTTGAATCTTTTACCTGTACTGACAAATGAGGAGTCAAATACTAAACAATTAATTGACAATATCGAATATTATGATTGTGTTTTGAAAGATAGTGCTTGCAAACAAAATTTAATTAACTTTGTTTTACTTAACTTTGTTTTACGCTCTTTGACCCTTTCTGCAATAGTCCGCTTAGTTTGGCCTATGTATGAGCTTCCGCAGCTGCAGTCTATTTTATAAACACCCGGAGTTTGTAGTGGCAATGTATCCTTCGGTGTGCCGACGATGTTGTGAACCTTTATGCCTGGTGTGTATACTGTCGGAATGGAATATTTCTTTAGTACAGACCCGATCTTGTCCGTAACTCCCTTGACATAAGGCATATAGGCCGGTTGCCTGTTCACTTCTGGATACTTGCGTCTTATTTTCGGTTGCTTCCGTCCTCCTTTCACTTGATATCCGTTACCTTTGAGTACCTCCTGAACATGTTTTAGCTCCTGTTCTAAATGTTCAGGGTCACAGAGATCGTAAGCTCTGTTTTTGAGTGAAGTCATAACAGATTGCAAGTGCCGGGGGTGATGATGAGACGTGGCGTGTAGGTATCTGTCCGTATGAGTAGGTTTACGGTACACACAGTGTGACAAGGACCCATCCGATCTCACGGCTACTTTAACATCTAAGAAGGACAACGACCTGTCCGTCTCCATTTCATATGTAAACCTCATTTTGGGGTGAATAGAGTTCAGATGTTGTATATATTGATCCACTTCTTGTTTGTTTCCTTTGACGATACTGAAAATGTCATCCACGTATCGCTTCCATAGCTTAACGGTATTCGGGCCGAGATTTAAAGCCTTCTCTTCAAAATGTTCCATCCAGATGTTGGCCAGTACTGGGGCTACAGGACTTCCCATCGCGACACCATCAATCTGTAGGTAATGTTGACCTTGGAAAAGGAAATAGTTGCCATCTAAACAGTGTTCAAGTAGATCCATATAGTTTAACGGCAGCTCGTTGTCTCTCAGTAGGTCTTTTACGACGTTTAGGCACTCCTTTATTGGAACATTGGTGAAAAGCGACTCCACGTCAAAGCTCACCATGACGTCATCCGGTTCCAACGTCAGATCTTTTATGATTTGTATGAAGTGCCGTGAGTCTTTCACAAAAGACGGTGTTTTGCCTATAAGTGGTTGCAATACTGAAGCAACGTGCTTTGCTAGATCGTAAGTAGGAGAAGCAATTTGACTTACAATCGGCCGCAGCGGTACGTCAGGCTTGTGTATCTTAGGCAGACCATATAATTTCGGTGGCTGGTGTGACTTTGGTTTGTACAGTCTGTTGTACTCGTCTTCTGAAAATAGGTCCTCATTGTCCCGGATTAGAGATCGTATTTTTCGCGTTACTCTGGCCGTGGGGTTGTATGTTACCGGTTTATAAACCTTATTATCACTCAACAGTTCAAGTATTTTGCTTTTGTAATCAGTTGTATTCATCACTACGGTAGCGTTTCCCTTGTCGGCCTTAAGCACTAAAATATCCTGGTTATCCCTAATGTTTTTCAGTGCTTGACGCTCTTCGATAGTGATATTACTAGCCGGAAGCTTTGACCGACGTAATATTACCGCAACGTCCTGTCTTAGGATATCGGCATCGCCGGGCGTATGTAATACCCTAAATAAGAGATCGCGTTAATTCCCGTTAAATAATATTAATTATCATGGAACGCGAAAGTTTAAAAGTTAGTAACTTTTTAAAGGTTGAGATGCGGTCAATCAAACGTTGTAGCGGATGTTCGTCACTGGGACTTGAACTTAGTACCGAAGTAAGCGTTATTGTTTTTCCTTCAAAACTTTCATCTTGTGTTGAACAAGGCTGAAAAGGAGCGATAGGCCATGTATTAATAGGCTGTGCAACCCATTCCGCAGCGCAAAACCAAAGCCTATTACATGCCAAGCTATAAGGCGTGACAGGGCGCGATATAATATCTGCGGGATTATCAGAGCCACTAATATGATACCAGTGTTTAGCGTCAAGTTTAGCGTTGATCTCGGTAATTCGATTTGCAACAAATGTGTGAAATTTAAACGAAGGCGAGTGAATCCAAGTCAGCGTGACTGTGGAATCAGAGAATGCGAATATCGAGTTTATTTTACAGCGTTTCGTTAATATATTAGTTACCGAATCAATTAAATTAGCTAAAAGTAGCGCGGCACAAAGTTCGAGGCGAGCGAGTGAAATCTTTTTTAAAGGCGCTAATCTAGACTTAGAAGCGAGTAGTGAAACGGAGCCCTTCGAGTTCTCATCGGGACTAACACGAATATAAACCACGGCACCATAACATTGCTCACTGGCATCAGCGAAACCTATCAGCGAAATGTGAGCGTTAGAGACAATACCTATATGTCTAGAAAAAACTAGTTTTGACAGATGTTGCAGCTCTTTATGAAACTGTATATATTTCTTGCGGATAGAATCGGGTACTTCTTGATCCCAATCAAGCGACAATTTCCAGCATAGCTGAACTAAAAGCTTCATGAAAGTAACAACAGGGCAAATTAAACCGATTGGATCGTACTGACGAGCGGTTGCGGCGAGAAGAATACGTTTTGTACACGACTGTACCCCGGTATCTGCGGTAACTTGAAATGAAAATATATCCGCATCAGGCTGCCAAAGCATGCCTACAAATTTTCGTAGTTGTTTGAGCAGCGTCGAAATCTACAAGATGCGGGCTTTTAATTGAGTTAGGAATTTTATTTAATAAATCCGAGCTATTCGAGATCCATTTCACCAATTTAAAACCTCCCGCCGAAAACAAATCTATCATTTCTTTGTATATTTTCTCCGCGGCATCTACAGAGTCTACCGATGAAATATAGTCATCCATATACATGTGACTCGCGGCCTCGTAAGCGGCAAGCGGCCACTTTGCACGCTCGTCGTCTGCTAGTTGACGCACGACGCGCATTGCGAGGTATGGAGAACTAGACAATCCGAATGTCACTCTATTAAATTCGTATTCGTCAATATCTAAACTAGAATAAAATCTAAAGAGAATGCGTTGAAAAGGTCGGTGACCCGGCGTGAGTTGTACTTGAAAATACATTTTTTCTATGTCCGCTGACATTGCTATAGAAAACATGCGTAAATTAATTAATAAATTAAAAATGTTTTGTTGAAGGTTGGTACCCGTAAACAACAAATCATTAAGCGACTTTCCCGACGTCGTTTTAGCGCTGGCGTCTAAAACCACGCGAATCTTCGACGTACTTTTATCTGGCCGATAGACGGCCCTATGCGGTAGGTAATAAGAGTTGTGAATTTGAGCATCAGAGTTGACTTTTGATAAGTAACCCTGATCAATATAATTTTGTATAGTTGCGTTATAATCGGAGCGTAATTCAAGTGCGTTATCTAATTTTCTTCCCAAATTTTTTAATCGTTTTTTAGCGATATTATACGAGTTTCCGAGCAAAAGGGGATCATATTTAAATGGGAGCGTTACAGTATATCTACTCGTCTCGTCGCGGGAATGCGTTGCCTGAAAGATACGTTCGCAGACTTCATCGTCAGGACTTGTGTGAACTTTATCTGGTACCTTTTCGAGCTCCCAGAAGCGTTGCGTTAAGTCTTCTAAATTATGCGTTTGAGCAGAACAGAAAAATGTTTTATTAATTTTTTTCGTGTTTAAATCGGAGTCATCACACTGAGCTCTGCCCATCATTATATAACCGAGCGTGGTTTCCATGGCAACAACTGAACACGGAGGAAAGCTAATCTTATTGTTGCGAATTAAATGCGGGAATAACTCGTTACCCAGCAAACAATTTATTTCCGAAGGGATGTAAAAATCATCATCCGCTAGTGGTATGTCGCGTATACCAGCCAGCTGCGATATATCCACGTGATAGTTCGGTAAACGATCCGTGATGCTATCTATGACTAAAGCTTTAATATGATAATTACAACGCGCGTCAAAGCGGGATTGAATTTTAAATGTAACAAAACCATACGAGCTACTCTCAGAGTGCCCCATGCCCTTTACTACACACGGGTTAGGTGATATTTGCAAATTTAATCGTTCACAACATACCTTCGTAATAAAGTTAGACATAGATCCTGTATCTAGCAAAGCGCGTACCTTTTTTCGCTGTCCGTTACATTTAAATGCGTATACATAAGCGGTAGGTAACAAAACAGTGGTACAATTAATATCTCCGTTAGTATTTGTAACTGACAAAGAAACATTAGCGTTTTCAGTATTCGAATTTTTAGGGAGCGAAGGCTTTAAATCGTATGCGCGCGCGTCTTGGGTCGAACGATCTATTCGTCCAGCCGAGCAGCTGTTTACATTCGCGGCAGAGGTGGCGGGGGAACGTCTGCCCTCTTGGTGCAACAAAGTATGATGCCTTCTTAAACAAGTCGCGCAACGATTTTGTGATTTACAAAAATTAATAGAATGAAATCCTAGGCAGTTAATACAATAGTTATATTTCATTACAATTTGATTGCGAGTTTCTGTGCCCTTATTTAAAAATTCAGGACATTTAAGTAGTGCATGAGCGGGACATGATTTACAAATAGAACTATAGTTATGCGAGCGTATATGCATATTATTATTATTATTATTAACCGTACTATTTGGCGTGGTGTTCACTATGAACGACTGAGTGTATTTCGAATTTTTAGTTGAGTTTGCGTTATTATTTTTATGAGAGTGCGTTATGTTAGATTGTTTATTACATGAGTATGACTGTGTGCGTAATGTATGAATTTTATCCTGTTCCTTTATAAACTGTTTAAGATTTTCGAATGTAGGTATATTGACATGTCTATAAGACTGTTCAAATAGCGCAAGAGTGTCCCTATCGAGTTTAGATAATGCGATATGCGTTATGATGAGACCGGCGAGGTCATCAATGCCTAAGCGTCGTAACGCGGATTCGGCTGAGCAAAACCGTTCAATAAAGGCGTCTAATGAATATAATTTAAATTTTAACATCTGTTCTAAGTACATAGAAGCTTGAACTCTAATGTCCTCATATTTTTCGATTAATGCATTCCAAATAATGTCATAATTCTCACCAATAGGTGGAATGCTAGAACAAACTGATAAGGCTTTGTTTGAGAGGTTACCTACGAGGTATTGAACCTTTTCGGCTGCGGTGAGTCGAGGATTATCATGAATGAGACTTTTAAAGTTCTGATAAAACACTGCCCAATTGTTAGGGTTACCATTGAAGCAGGCTAATTGCAGTGGTGGCAATTTTGGCGTAATTTTTGGTTTCTGCACGCAGTCGGGCCGCAGAAGAGAGTTCTCAACCATTTTAATATGACAATACAAATCATCAAATGAGTTTATTTCCGAGTAGGTAGGCTTGACCTCTTTGTCCTGTTCCATAAACAATAAATTCAAATCATCTACTGTTTCTAGAAATTCGGTTCTAGTATGTTCTAATGATTTTATACGCGATAAGAATTTAGTTTGCGAGATATGATCCGAAACCTTTAAGCTGAGATCGTAAGTTTCTTGCGTTCTTTGAAATAATGCTTCTTTTTTAGATTGCAATAAAGTAATTTTACGAATTAGTTGGGTGGCCATATTGAAAGTGAAACAAGTATGACCGGATGCGTGTGGAAAATAATTGAAGTTAACTATTAACTATTTTCAGTGTATTTTAATAATATAATATCAATATATTATTGGATATTATAAATATATACTATTAATAATAATAGAATACGGAAATAATGTGAGTAGCGATAAATAAGCGTTGCGAAGAAATAAAAATGGCGGATGCGTGCGTTTCTTACAATTGAATTTTGTAAGATGAAATATGCGTCGTGCGAGAGGTATTTAATAATATAACATCAGTATATTATTGAATAATATATATAAGCTATTAATAATGATAGAATGCGTAAATAGGGTGCGTAGCGATATAGGTATAAGCGGTTTTAGAAGATAAATATGGCGGCGTGTTTGTCTTCTTAATTGCGTTACAAATAAAATATAATATATGTTTTGTGTAAATTGCGGATGCGGCTTTGAATTACCAGGAGTTGTATGTGACTTACGTGGGATAGGTGGATGGCTGTATAGATCTTGCTCTTGGAGTCTATAGGGGCTGGTTCAACAGCGTCACGTACAACACACTTTGCGATGAGAGTGTTTTTAATGAGAATCACACGCGCACTTATAGTTGTTTTCTTTATTAACGTGGCGCCGGCGTAGGATTCCCGGTGTTTAGAGCGGGTGGGAGTAACGGAGTGACGTGTGACTTGAGAGCGAGGAGACGACTTGACGAGTAAGAGACGACGACCAACTTCCGCGTCTTGAGAATAGCGTCAGACTACTAGTTCATTTCAAAATGGTTCTAGGATATGCGGAGCGGGGAAAGGGGGGAAGGAATAAAGGGTGTGTGTTTGATGCGTTCAGAAACGTGTAATGAGTGATTGAGTAATATTTAAATATAAAATAATAGAATAAATACGTGAGTAATAATATGGCGTAAACGGCGTTTACAATATATATATATGTATAATGTATGTATAATAATGTATATTTATTTATTTTTACACTACGTTAGCTCCAATACACCTAGACTACCGACTGTTTCTTATCTACTGTCGATTTGTCAATCCAAAGGTTGCCTGTAAGAGATTGTTATTAGCAATAAGGCCGCCCATTGTACATATCCATCTGTAATATTTAACCAACTTACTGTAATTGGTGTACAATAAAGCATATTCTATTCTTTTCTACCCAGTATATCTGTGTAGTATAACACCTTGCAACCGACTACAATTTAAATAATTTATCACATTATACAACTGCCACGCATCACCCCAAGATTGATTGGAAGAAAATGCTTATGGCATTAAGTCCGCCTTATGCAATGTATTTGCAGGAAGTATAAATAAATAAATAAAAATACCTCAAAGCAGCCTATATGCACTTCAGATAGCGTCAAGTTTGTAGTGTGCGGCTCGCCTTACCTTATATGTAACTGCACACATTTATTTATTAAACCGATTATGGAACCGAACAGTTATCTATAATTTACCGACGTCACATGGCGACCCTTAGCCAGCAGTTTTTTAGTCATTTAATTTTTTATTGACATTTTAACATTATGAAGAAAGGAGGCGTATAGTTATTTAGAAGACTAAAAGATTATTGAAGAATGTAAACTGTTGAACTTTAGAAGAATGAAAATGTTGAAGAGAAATTGATTTTGAAGAAAGACTATGAAGACTATTTATAGAAGATTTTAGAGAAGACAGAAGTCAAAAAACCCTTACAGAAGAATACCATGAAAGAAGATCAAAAATAAATCTCGAAGTAGATTATCAATCGATCTCTCTCTCGATTCTTGATATTTTTGATGATGTTGTGTGTTGGTGCCGGATGTGTGGAAAATGCTGAAGCCTATGATAAGAGGATGTGCAGGCTGCCGGGAGATGATAGTGCGGGTCCGATGTGGAGATGCCGGGAGACAGTTCCAGTTCAATAGTTGAATTTCGTAATAATCAATTACACCACATTCAACGTTATTCGTGACCTATTTACATATCCGTTGGCGGTAATTAATTAATCATATTATATTAAAGGTATGTCCCAACAATTAGAGTTTTAGAATTGCAATTTGAATTGCATTCAAAGTTAAAATATTTAAAGGAATATTTAGTGAAATCTGGTCCAGATAGGCATAAACAGGAATTAGGTTTTAAGAAGTTAGGGAAAGCTGAAAAGGAGTATAAAAAGTTGGATTATATTTTGACTCAGTTGAACCAAGAAGTTACTGATCGCAAGATAAGCAAAGAAGCATTTTATTCCCTTAAAACATTAATTAATGAAATTCAATTAACTTTTAAATATATAAAGAATTTATTTTGGATGATAGACAATAGTAGCAGTCAAACCAGTTCTAGGGATTTATTAGTTATTTTTAAATGGCTGACTCATTTGATATTAAAACTGCAATTTCCTTGTTGCCGGTAATGAATGGCGAGGAGCAGGTGACTAAGCAGCTCGTAGATGGTCTTTTATTTTATAAGTCAGTTTTAAATGAGTAAAGTAGAAGCAAATTAATAGAATTTGTTTTAAAAACTCGTTTGTCAAAAAGTGCCAATCTTCGGCTTAGGTCTACATATAGGGATGTTGAAACTTTTGTTCAGAACATTCGAAAATATTTATTGCCTATAAAATCTACGGTTGCTTTGCAAACACAATTGTTTAGGGCTTCTTAAGGGCGTAGAAGTATTGAGAAATTCGGTACAGAGCTCGAGGTACAGAGCTCGTGAAGCTCACGATAATCGTGATGCCTACGAAATATTGCGTCCTCTTAATGAGAAGACTGCAATCAAGAGGTTTAGTGATGGTTTGGTAGACGAACAGTCCATGTGTGCCCAACATCAAGATCAGGTCATGCAGTTTAGGGCTACCCAAAGTAATAGGCGTGATTTCACTAGTAAATGAGGTTTTCGTGGCCGAGGTAATAATAGCTTCTATAATAATTTTAATAGGAATAAAATAAATCGCACACAGTACAATGGCACGAGTAGCGGTCAAAGACCCTCGTTATTTATACATCGAGGTAATAGAAAAGACGTTCAGCAGCGTCAGCAGTATCGCGGTGCGCGGACGGCACGTAGTCAATATGTCCAGCATAGCGTGCAACAGTCCAATGTTCAAAATGATGCGACCATTGCTAATAACTTAGAATTTTTTCGTCCCTAAGCAATGCACTCATTCCACTTTTAGTTTTAGTAATTTTTGTGCAGTTAATTGTCAACTTAGAAATAATAGTAATTTTAATTTATTAATAGATAGCGGAGCGAGTTTATGTGTGCCTAAGTATGAATGGTTGTCGCGACACGAGAGTTTGTCAGGTTTAATGCAGCAGGATAAGATAGCTATTAAGGGGATTAGTGGATATTTAGAATCTCTGAGATATATTTACTTAGATATTCACCGTCCTCACCTACTTACCTTGCTCCCTACTTACGTTACCTGTCTAGCAATCATGACAGAAACCTTCGCTCAGATAACAATCTGCTTCTCTTATGTCCCTCTCACAACTCCGACTTCGTGAACTCTTCGTTCTTTGTTCAAGCAGTACTACTCTGGAATGCGCTCCCGCTCGAAATCAGGATGTCCACAAACCGCTTTATATTCAAAAAGAAGGTACATGCTCTCCTTCTTAAAGAAATGGCAGAACGGTCTAATCCATAGTTAAGTATACCTCATATTCAGGTTTTCATAGTGTACGAATAAGATATGTCTATGTATCTATATAAATATACTTGTATATATATGTATATGTATCTATGCATATTTATGATGTGTAAGTGTAGTATGAGTGCATATGTAGTGAACCGTATATATTTTCATTGTACATTTGATATTATGATGTAACCTCTGTGCACCTACCTTACAAGATTTCTACATCACCCAAAGGTTGACTGGAAGAGAATGCCCTGGGCATTAAGTCCGCCGATGTACAAAAGTGCATAAAGATAAATAAATAAATATTATTATTAACGGTGTAGAGTTCAATCAAAAGTTCTATATTTTCGAGAACTTATCTTATGACGCAGAAGGCATTCTCGGTCAGGATTTTTTTATGAGATATAACTGGATATTAAATTATAAAATTGGTGCTTTGAGTTAGAAAACCGAGACCAATCAGTTAACATTCCAGTTAATAGTAGTAGTAACAATATGTTTACAATTCTGCCTCGTTGCGAAGTAATAAAACACTTTCCGACGTCACAGTTAGTGTTGCGTCATTTTGTCTAAAGAAATTTATGAAGGTGTTTACACAGCGGGTATTGTAACGAAACCACGCAATAGTTTCATTCCTGTTAGGATTTTAAATACTACTAATAGTTCGGTAAATATAACATTTTAGGATATAAGTACTAGTTGTTTAGAGAATTTTAACGTTTGTAGATTTGACGATAATACCGTTACTACAGATAGAGTCAAAACTTATCTTCCCAATAATCGACTATGGTGACGTGTGCTGTTATGACCTGAATGCAGATTTTCTTGCATTTGAATGCATTCGATACATCTTTAACCTCCGTAAATATGATCATGTGTCAACTTTCCGTTCGCAGCTTAACTGGTTACCAATTCGTCTACGTCGTAAATTACGCGCTCTCACTGTCTTATTCAATATTCTTAATAACCCATCTTCGCCAACGTATCTAGCTTCCAATTTCCAACTCCTATGTAGTAATCACGATAGAAACCTTCGGTCCTCCAATAACCTTCTTCTTCGTTGTCCGTCCCACACGTCTGAGTTTGTTGGCTCTTCCTTTTTCGTTCAGTCCGTTCTTCTTTGGAATGCGCTTCCACTCGAAATCAGGATGGCTTCCAATACTTTTTCCTTTAAATTAAAAGTAAAGCAGTATCTGGTCAAACAACTGGCAGGATCAAATTGCTCATGATTTCTTTTTATTTTAATAACAAATTGTTATCAGTATCTACTTGCGTGTGTATGTATGTATTCATATACTTTTATACAGTATTTATATATCATAAGGTATTTATTTATTTATTTATTATATCTTTATTGTATACACTTTAAA